GATCGGCCACGGCCACGACTTCGCCAATGCATTCGTACAGTGTCCGATGTACAAATTTGTCTACCCGTTCCTTCACATGCAAAATCCGCTCATCACTACGGTAATCCATGCGTCTCAACCGCTGCTGTTGTATGTTTCAGTATCTGGGACATATACTTAAATAAGTACTACCGACGGATCATACCAAAAACTTCGGTTGTTTCAATTTTTCGGTACTGCTAAGTAAAATTCGTGAAGAATGTTATAGCTGGTGAATAATTTTTTAAAAAAGTACAAAGCATATGCGCAGAAGATCATAAAAACGTATTACAAACAAGGCTAAAGATATAAGCCGCCAGAGACTTGACCGGACCTGATTTAATGTATTTTGCATTTAACATTTACGCAGTCTGCTAACTAACAGTCAATGGTTAAGCACATCCACGCGAACTGCAGCTGCACAGCAAATGCGTTACGAAAATTGTCATGAGTGTTGTATGTTCTGGCACTGCCATTTACCACTGCTTAGAATTCGACGCGTTGCAGCCTGGCACAATTTATTTCTCGTCTGATTAAACCGAATACACTACATCAAGTGAATTTGCAGTTAATGCGAAATAAGTTACACTGCCCATGCGGATTCAACGGAGAACCTTCGAAGTAGAAAATAACTAATAAACGTTATGCTAACGCCTCTAAGATATACCATGCAATACACTACCTGATAGTAAGATAAAGACAAAAGGCATTACAAAAGAGCTGTTCTTTTCTGCACTGCGCAAAAGAGACCATATAGACAATCGCAGAGAAGGAGCTATGGAATCAGCTCAGTATGTTGTTGATCATGTGATCACACAGGTATCAATAGACTTAATATTGTAGCTGCTGTCGTTCGCCTGTGACAATCACTGGTTTAACCTGTTATAAAGACTCCCCGAAATTGTTCGCTGCATTTCACGTCAACTGACATTAGCTCCCACGTATCTGATGAGTTATTGGCTTGCCTTTCTCCCTTAGGATCGGTTTAGTGTTGAGTGCAGTAAAGGTTATTTCATCTGTTTAACGTTTCAGAACATTCCCAGGAGGCATAGCCTAGCCCTTCATTTAGACCAGTAGTTGTGATCTAGATGGCGCTTCAAGCGAGAGGAAATGTGGCATTGAATATATGATAGACAAAAAATTCTGTAGCAATAATGGTAGTATGCAGTACGAAAGCGCTTCACGGAAATAAAACCGCTAATCCTGGCGAATTCTTAAATACCTTTCCAGGGTCATAATTACTGTAATCATTTTATCATCATCTTCAAGACCCTTTGTAAAATGAAAGGCTGCTTAAGTTAGAGAATATCCATGTGTATCAATTTACTGTAGGCTTTCAAATCACTTGCTCTTAATTAGCGGAACGGATCTTCCAATTAAAAAGTTGAAACAATCTATTGATAAAAATTAATGTATTCACGAAACAACCCAACAATACGCTTTAAACCGGCCCCGTCTGAAGACATTCCGGAGTGAGCAAGTGCACTATTTGTCGTCTCCTGCTTAACAATAGTTTTAAGGAGGAATACAAATATTGCTACTTTCTTGTTTACGACCTGCAAATCACCGATAATTCAAGATTATGACCATACGAGTTATTCGGTTTTTAAACAATTCAAGTTTGCAGAAACATTCATCCCAATTCAGCACAGCTGAGCAGTTTGAACTGCGGAGCAGGTTTTTACATTTACACTTGACTTAATTTAAGATATAGTTCGTAAATTTTAACGATGCAAAGTCATGTAACAAGGATTAGTCAGGACAAACGGAAGTAGGTATGAGTCCAAATCTACAAGTGTTCAAATGTCTTTGAGCCACTTGATGTGTACATAGCAGCGGCTAACTACTTGTCGAAAAGTGTTATATGCATGGTTCAACTTTGAAGTAAATAAACGCAATAATGCTATAATATTAAATTTCTCCCATGATGTTCTGTTTAAGTAGATGAAACAGGGTAAGTCAATTATAAAAGCATCTTCTGGTTGCGAATATTCTACTAATGAAACGTCTGACCCATTTTTTCTGTGTCTTTCCTGACATCGTCGGTTCAGATGCTCAAATCGTGTGATTGTAGTGACCCACGAATTGCAATGATCAGTCCTTCTTACGAAATGATTTCAGCTTGCTTTACTTTATGATTTTAATTGCGATCATCTCAGCTCCTTTCTCCTTACTTTATACTATTTGTCCTTCCAGAAACATCAAATTCTTCAGTGCCACTGTTCCTTTATCTTTATGACAAGTTTCAGTGTTTACAGCATCAATTTAAGGTTGTTCAATGTCACCTCCGGAGCAATTTAACATTGAATCTTAACTTAGGACTGATTTTTGCAATGAGGCCATTCGATTAATTTCATTCGGTTAATGTTACACAGTGCTTAACGGCCTGAACGTCATTGTGTATATTCAGCAGTAACATCAGGGGAAATTAAAAAGGCGATGACAGCTTTACTTTGAGCATATGAGCATCTGCGAAAGGAATCAATAAATCAACATAATTTAACTTAATATTTTCCTTCTTTTACATTTTGACCGGATGACGCTGTGAAACTCAAAATAGAAACCCGGACAGCGCGGATACCTGATGCATCAGTTGGCAATTCAAAAAGTCATGCACATCGCTTCACTCCGACCGGACAGTATTCGGCGACGAATCGCGTCAATGGCAAGGAGTTAGCCATTCATGGAGGTTTCGATCCTATTCTCATCAAGCACGACGTTCTCGGCTCTTGATCTATTTTTTCCACCGTCGTGGTCTGCCTAATCCGTCCATGAGGGATCATTTCCTTCAGTAATCCGAGTTGCTTTCTCAAGCTACCGTAACTTGTCTTTCCTCTTCTCTGCTATCGACAAAGACGTTTATCACTTTTGTTTGCTGCCTGATCACCGCGTTGCGGGTGTGATCGCGACGTGAAAATCGTAACATTCTTTCTTTCATGACTTTTTGGGTGACCAATAGCTGGTGCTTTTCAGCTTTAAGAAGTGATCACAATGCGCCTTTGTTTCTCGGCGAACTTTTCATGGCCTACGTTGGAGTTGGCTTTCAGGGATTAGTACTCGCTAAAAATATGCGCTCGAAACTCCATCTACGGTTATTATCCGTGATTTGAACTCTGCATTGTTGTTCTCTCAATCATCTCATCGACGGTTGGCATCGACCGCTCAAATCTCCGGTCACTACCGGTGTTAAATGACAGCATTATTGCTATGTTTGGGATTGTGTGGCGTTTGTCGAACAGGATGAGGTCGATTCCGTTCTCCATCGCTACTTTGAAATCACCTGAATGCGTGAAATGCGACTGTTCATTCAGTTCGCCGCTATTGAATCTTAGCGCAAGGAACAATCGAATCAATCGAGTAAGTTGTCGTGATGCATGTTAGCTCTGGTTAACAAAAAATTGCACTGAACAGAGTTCTGAAACTGTGCAGTTTATCATCAACATTACGATGTAGTTCTGAATTTGCATATGTCTATTTTGCAAGCAAAAATTAGTCTAGATTTTAAATTTAGAATTTGATCAACTTGAGATACC